GCACATGGACTCAGTATGCTGTTAATAAAACATTGAGCTTTGATCACATGACTTGCTGAAATCAGGAGAGGAGTGTGGCATCATCGCAGGGCCTGTCAGGACTTCCTGCACAGCTCTGAGGGAGGAGGATTCTAAGAGTGACCACATGCTGAGCCAGAGAGAGGACATGTGAGAGACTGTAGCACAGAGATAGGGCCTGGCTGAGAGAACTTGTTTCACCCAAGATCCCACCAGCTGAGAGAGGGACCTGCAGGAAAGGAAAGAAGACAAGCACTGAGTCCAGACGTCTGGCGAATCCAGTGAGAGGAGACTGCTGCTGACTGACTGGTTAATCGTGTTGTGAGGGTAAGCCAAGCCTCTCCCTGTATCACCACAGGGCACCTGTCTCCTCACTCACAGTAAAGACTCTGAGGTCCTGTGACGGACATTACACATCTGAGGCTGCTTCAGTGACCCTGTGAAGCAGGACTTATAAGGGCCCCAACTCTCCTATGTGCACCAACGGCCGCTAGGGCGAAGATAAGGGGGTGGGGCACAGGTGTGCTGGTGGGTGAGTGAGGAAAATCCACATTTGCATTGTTATCTGTGTTACACTATTGTATTTTCCTATGTATGTTGGTTCAGTTGCTACTTTCCATATAAAGTTAGTCCCAGTTAGACTGTGTCAGTCTCATTGCACCAAGTATGTTCCCAGTGGGACCCCACATCCCTACCCCGGATGCTCCACTGGGTGGGGGCACTGCCGCAGACATGTACCCCAGCTCCCAGATAGCGGAGGCTCAGGATCCGCCTGTCAGGCATAGTGAGTTAACTAGGTTTGGGGACCCCAAAGACACTAGGGGGCACCCCCAAAACCCCGTTACAGATCGAGGCACTGCTGAGATGTATTGGGGTACAACCAGTGAGAATAGGTTAAGTCCTCAGGCCACTCCCTCCTTTGTGAAACAGTGGGCCCAGCAAAGAAATGTACCATTACAGCAAGCTGTGATGTTATGCAAAGTCCCATCCTGCTGTGAGATGAATCACGTCATCTTGTGTATAGAAATTCGACTGGGAATAGAAATGGCGACCATCAGAGATATCCTGCAGGATTCTGAAGGCCAAACTTACATGTTAATATATTGTCATATGGGCTTGGGAGACCATGAGATGCCTACCAACATTCATTTACATGGAGCCCCGGATGGAGGATGCTCCTTAGTGTACGCTCTCCTTGATAAGAAAGAAAGGGTCTCACTGCAACAACCCTTTAAATTAGAGCGGAAAGATTATGTCACAGAAAATTATTCTAAGCTCCTGACCCCCATCTCCGGAAAGGCCGGAGCCATTCCTAAACAAGCTGCCCATCCTCCTAGAGGACAGGGGATGATTACTCCTAAAGCAGAATCTCATCCATCTACAGTATTACTGAAACCAGACAACCCTGAAGTACACACCCTCCCTACAGGAGGTAGTGATGTATCGGACATACTACAGAAACTCTCAGAAGCCATAGTGACGGCAAACCACACCCATAGTTACCGCAAACTAAAGGTGTTTTCTGGGAATCAGCCTGTTCCTGCAGGAGAAGAGCCTTTTGAGGTCTGGAAGGATAATGCTATGCAGTTGTTGGAGGAATGGTCTTGTACGGATACCATAAAGAAACAGCGGTTGGTGGAGAGTCTTCGTTTTCCCGCTACAGACATGATAAGACTGTACAAGGGAGTAAATGGGCAAGCTACTGCGCACGACTATCTACAAGTTTTACAGGATGCTTATGGGAAATCAGAAGATTTGGATGATCTGTTGGTTAAGTTCCTAGCCACTAAGCAGAAGGAGCACGAAAAAGCCACTGACTATATCAACCGGTTACAGCTATCGCTTGGAAAGTTATTCCATAAAGGAGCAGTCACTGCCTCTGAGTTGGATGCTCGGCTATCTAAGCAAATTCAGAGAGGTGGTTTGACCAATAATCCAGTTATGATTCTGCTGAGAGCCAAGTTGGATGATAAAGTTCTGCCTTATTCCACATTAATAAATACAGCCAGGAGATTGGAAGACCAGATGTGTCCACCCCTACAGAAGGAGAAAGAGAATACAGAACTGTCAGCTCTTAGGAAGAAGGTGGCTGAATTGGAGCTTTTATGCAAATCACCACCAGAGAGAGCAGATCTTCCCCCTGGAAGTGGGGGGCAACACAGGAAGACTCAGAAAAAGCTGTTTCCTGAGGATTCACCCCGCCGAGGGAACTGCTTTAAATGTGGAAAGTCAGGGCATTTTCAGCGGGAGTGCCCTGCGGATTCCATGGAGGTGGATGTGGGGGTGCTGGCAACCGAGCTCGGGGAGACTCAAATGACCAGGTCTTACAAGCGAAGGAAGACCCGGCCTACATATAGTCTATCTGTAGGGGCCAAGATTGGGCCTAAATCTTTGATACACGTGCAAGTGGAAGGAATTCATGCTTCAGCATTGCTAGATACAGGTTCTCAAGTCACCATTATCTACAGAGACTTCTATGAACGTCATTTGAAACACATTCCTATGGAACCTGCAGGAGAGTTTCAGCTATGGGGCGTTGGGTCTCAAGCTCAACCTGTGGAGGGATGCATAAAAGTGACCATAACTATTCCCCAGTTAAATACCGGGATGATATGTCCTATGGAGCTGGAAGCTTTGATATGCCCTGCAGCCAAGAAAGTGTGTGCCCCAATAATATTGGGTACTAATGCAAAGATGGTACAGGATGTATTCAGGGCCTATCTGACAGAAGTGGGAGATGTCTCCTTAGACCGACTGATGGAGGTCAGCCCTGTCCTAGGAAAAGAGTGTCGACGACTAGCCCTTGCAACAAAACCAGGGTTGTGCCACTATTCAGGAACAGAACCTGCATTTGTGAAGCCTGGTGAGACCAAAACCTTACGAGCCATAGCCTCAATGCACCATGAAATGTTGGGGGGAACTGGACAATACCTTATTGAGTCTCTGCCTGAAGAGGATCAGAAGAAGGGGTGGACTCTCATACCTGAGATAAAAGATTGGCGAAAAAAGGTGGTGTCGGAGTTTTCCTGTGATGGTACAGAATTTAACCCCCACGGAAATCCGGATTGATCGTCATCAGAAGATTGGTGTAATACACCTTTTAGATCAAGTTTCGTCCATCATGTCTGTGAGTGCAGAACAGACGGATCATGTGAAAGCACATTTAGATTTTGATCTAGAAGATTCTCCCCTACCACAGCAGTGGAAAGACAGCCTTCGTTCAAAACTGGCCACCCGAGAGGGAGTGTTCTCCAGAGCAGAGATGGGCGTGGGGTGTTCTAAGAGTGCCACCCATGCTATAAGACTTGCTGATCCTACTCCTTTCAGAGAAAGGTCAAGAAGAATACCCCCTCGAGATGTGGAAGATGTCCGGGACATACTCCAGCAGATGGAAGGAGCAGGCATCATCACAGAGTCCCGGAGCCCCTATGCCTCACCTATTGTGGTAGTGAGAAAAAAGAATGGTTCAGTTCGGCTATGTGTGGACTACCGTACTCTGAACAAGAGGACTGTGCCAGACCAGTACACTTTGCCCCGGATAGAAGATCTTCTGAACGCCCTATCTGGCAGCCAGTGGTTCAGTGTGCTTGACTTGAGGTCTGGATATTATCAGGT